TAAGCTGATTAAGGGCATTGCGAGTCCAGATTTTATTACACACGTCCGTGACGCCGACGCTTATGGAAGAGATATGTGACGTCATCACACGGAATTTCGGAAAGTTTGCGTGTGAGATGCCTCTTGGATCCAAATTGGTACTCCAATTCTATATGACTTTCGTGTATGTTCCCCAAATGTATTGACAATCCGAGTGTCTCTTCTTCAGTCATCACGACGAAGTGGGGCATGTAGCATAGTAGGGAGCGTTTTCATCGTCAACAAGGTCACACAGAGATCCCCTAAAGCAAAGACAAATAAAACAAAGCCTACGCAGGTCAATGGCATATCAACTCTCATTGACATATTAGGATTTTGCGCAAGTCACTTTCTGGAGAATGGTTTTTACAATCTCGAGCAGGAGGGTTATCTTGTCCCCCCCCCACCAACTATGGCACAAAATGACAACGTCGACGCGCCTGGTACCACGATCGATACACCAATCATTCTTGAGAAAATTGCCCGACCTTTGGGGCTAGCTTCAAGGAGGAAAATTAATCACAGCTGCCGAGGGAAACGCACGTAACAAAAGGAAAAGTCGTTCAGAATGTGTTGATTGCATCGACGGTTCGTGGACTCGAACCATTCTTTCAACACAATTGTGTTTAACCCGCGGACTTCGGATCACTCCTGCTCGTCGGGACATTTGGCAGAGATGTCACACTTGCATGAAATTCTGATCTACTGATGAGGAGACTATTCTCTTGAAAGGGCATGGTGAAGTGCCCGAAGTCATTCGACAAATCCTCCATAAAATATCGACGCAGAGCATGGTGTGTGTGCTGAGGGGATGATCAGAACATCTGCGTCGAGCTAGTCAAAGCGACGATACGAAACGCTGCAAATACATGTATTGTGGAACATGTCCTCTAGCAATGGAATGAAGGTTGATGGCCTGCGTCACTTGTTTAATGAGGCATTGGATTTTTTCTATAAAGATATCAAGGCCATATGGCTGTCCTTGAACAGATGCCGGTATGATTGTTTGGATTTTGAATGAATCCGGAAAATAAAGTCAGTCGAAGTTCACGTAGCCCTGTTCACCAACAGACGATCGTAGCTCAACATCTTGATTAATGTTAGGTGAAATAGTGACCAGCAAAACTTTGGGAAATATTTACTCGATTTAAAGGTGAAATAATGTAGAGTTATGGGACTAAGCACCGTGTGAATTCATTTTTGCTAGCCAGCTTTTTGTTTTGAAGACTGAAATGAAAGACGGCTAGTTCCAACAATATGTCTATAAGGAAATATTTCAATTTTGGCCGTTAATTGTTCGTTTGTAATTAGGGGAAGCACGCGCAAGCGTTGACACAATGAATACGCGCAAGGTAGAGTAGCAAAGTGTGAGGTCGTTTGAAACCAGGAAGTCTAGTTCAAACGAATGGAGTACGCTAGCGTGTCTCTTCACGTGCAAGCTCTTGCGCTAATGCCTTTTATACACATTGTGCCAGTGATGTGTTCACTTTGGTGATCTATCCGGTTCGTAAGTGTGACGTCACTTCAGTTAAACCACGCCCACTGCACATGCGCAGCACATAGAGTTACATGCATTGATCGCCGTTTACGTGGAACCATGGAACAGGAAGTTAACGCGCAACTCCTGCGATCGTCCAATGGGAGCCTGCAAATCGTGGCACGTCCGCCTTTTGTGACGAAGTCACTTTATGAACCTGGTAATTCGTCGGTTCACCGTACAGCAACCACGGACGTGTATAATAAAATCTGGACTCGCGTTGCCCTTAATCAGCTTGTAGAGTCATTGAATCCACTCGCGGCCATTTTACCAAGCCGAATACAAAGCTTTCCTGGCAATGTCCGCCTTTGTTCTTCCTGACGTCAAAAGAAGGGAGCCAACCCATGCTTTTGTATTCGGCTCGGTAAAATGGCCGCTGTTCGGCTTCTTTTTCATACAAAGGCGTTGCGATTCCAGGTTTTTTATATACGTCCGTGACAGCAACGCGTTGTTGTAATCGGTTGAATGAGAGCGCGTCACGGACGCTGAATTTTGGCATATTAAGCCAGTTCCCTATTCCAACATGGCATGCCCAGTATACGAAGTTATTCGGGAAAAGCTACGCTCGCGCGCGAGAGGCTGTCCTATCCACGTAGCCATATGCTGACCCACGACTGCGCTTTGTTCCTAAAAGTGGCTTGGCGTTCTGAAATACCGAATTGGCTCATTCAAAATGAGACGCTGCAATCTTGAAATTGAGATCCTAGAATAAGCAACATTTACTTAACTCAAACTTCATAAACTATAAAACACCCGTCTTTAGATTTTGAGCACTTTTATTACCTAATAGTACGAATATAATGCACAGATGCTAAATGATGGACTTTACCTCTGACCAGCGTTAAAGGTTATTGCCTTCCAATTATTATAAGCAGCGAATGCCCTAAAGCATTTAATTTGCGACTGATTTAGACTTAACAGAGTGGATTTGAGTTCTGCTGAGAGTGACGCACCAACGTTTTTGCTTACTCGGCACCATCAGGCCGGTGGTTTTGATACCTGATTATACGTGCCTGTAGACACGGTACCAAATCAATTAATGTCAATCAACTTCAACCAACTACAAACTGTAACCAACTAGCTTGTAGACTGGATTATTTTGTATAAAGAAGTGTGACTTGTAAATAATAGTATGTACCATTTATCCACATGATATATATCTCGAACTGCATTGTAATTATGTGACCAAGGCCGTACACGTTTGAATTTTAAAAAAATCATTTCGCTCTAGATATTGTTGGCGAGCATGCACTAAAATCTGTAATAAGGTATGTTAAGAATTTCACTGAATTTCCAAAAAGCTGGACACCTTTACGTGTGAAATGTTTGTTAAATCTTGGTTGCAATTTAATATAATTGTTTTGGTATTGTGTTCGTTGTAAACTACTTCATGTAGGGTTATAAAAGAGTGTTATTTTACGGTGTAGTGATTATAAAAAAGGTATGTAACGGTATTTACGAAAGAAACATACATTCAGTGTTTCTTATCTGAAACAGAAGATACTAGTTTTTGTTTGATTGTGAATCATGTAACGTGGGTTTCAAATGTAGTCACACTTTGAATTGCACAGCATTTGTATACTGCCAAGCAGCTCATGCACAAGTGCAATAAATGCAGCTTATTCAAAGTTCATTTCTGTCTTGTCACAAAACTATTTTTGCGACTTTTGATTTATTTGTCCGTCGATGTCACAATATTATTACATGGACTTCTTTTTTCCAAATGGAGTGTTTTTGCCTGATATCATGATCACTAGGCCTCGTTCACGATGAAACCATTTTCTATCATGTTCGCTGAATCTGTCTTGTCCAGTGCCTTCACTTCCAAGAAATCCTCCCCCTCAGAAACAATTAGGTCATTTTCATCCACTGAGCTCATTTGACAATTCACCACGCTGTATGGGGGCAAAGGACTTTAAAGCGCGGGTACCAACTGCCCACGAGCGTTCTGCCCGCCAAAGTGGTGACTTCACATTATTGTTGCCGTATCATGTTACACCAAACCTGGGCCCCACTATAGACCTTTTCCACCCACGTGACTAAATGTTAACAATACCACCACGTGTGGACTGCCTTGGCTACGGTGATCGCATAATCCTACGGGCAGCTTAAACCACGTGCAAGCGCACGTGGGAACACTGCATGCTTGACTAGTTTATCTTGAACATGTAGATTACCATCACAACACTAAGCACTCATCACAACACATTATAGGTCCAGCACGATTGTGACATCACTGAAAAAAGGTCAGTAGGCAGCAACATTATGACAGCGCTAATCTTTGCATACCCTTTAATGATAAAAATGTCTACCAGCATATGATGCAGTGCACTTTCCCTGTGTTTGAACGCACCCCTGCTGTGGGATTTTCATAGGATGAGGTGCAAAACGTTGCCCACTTGCGTCTAATAACAAGTGCCAGATTGTCTACACCGGAAGCAGTTCGAGGGTTCGACGCATGCAGTGCATTTTTAAAAAAAGACCTTTGATAATGCACTTTTGTGTTGCAATTAAAGAGCCCGTAAGATTAGTTTTTCCTTAAAACCAGCGGCGAAGCCAGGATTCTGAGCGGGGGGGAGGGGCTTCGGGCTAAAGTAGGGGGGCTGACTGGATGTTGGACGTAATCGTGATTACATCAGAATATGCATGTGTACCGTTTCCGAAATGCAAGGGGGGAGACTGGGGAGACAATTTTTCAATGGGGTACCCATCCCCCCCTTAGCCAAACCGCTCCTTAAGACACACCTTTTGTGCATCTTTATATTCTTCTTCACTGTGTGAAAACTGTGTGACATCCTGGGGTTAAGGTGTTTTGAAGAGTGCAGCTTTTGAACATTTATAATTGTCCAGGCGTTTCCGGGCAACTGAGGGCGCTGTTGCCCCTGACGTCTTCCAGTGAAGACTCTGCCCAGTTTAATGTATTTTTCTTTCAAATTGTGAACCCAAAAGTACTTCCAGATTTTCTTTTTTTTTTAAACCTAATTTTGTGCCTTGTCTGGTTTTATGATGATATGAATTTCCGTATTCGTTGAACAGCAAAACTGAAATTTAATTTCAGGGCGAAAACCTAAATATTGCTTGGAAAATGTCACAGCGTGGACTCTTTGTTGGTTGGTCGTGTTTTGTGATTCCCAGCGACACTGCTTAATGACAAGGCCGAACGTGTCATGTTTGAAACAGGAACCTGAAAATGAACAACTTAGAGTGAGATTATCTTCATGAAGTTTATCCGCCAGGCTCATCTGTGCAATATTGATAGGAAGGCCCCTGCATCATT